TTCCTTTTGCTTTGTTTCTTAAATCTCGCAAATGAGTGAAATCACATGGTATTTGTGTTTCTCTGACAGTTTATTTTGCTTAGCATTATGCTCTCTAGCTCCATCATGTCATTGCAAATGGCAAGATTTCATTATTTTTTACGACTAAATAATATTACATTATATATATATAATACATATAGCTCACATATTCTTTATCCATTCATCTATTGTGTTAGTTTTTAAATTTGAGTATAGTTCACATGCAATATTACATTAGTTTCAGGTGTATGATCCACTGAGGTTTTAGCTTAGGAATATTTTAGTGACCCAACTTTTGTTATTTCACAAGAAATTTTTAAAAGTCCAGTTTTGTAACTTTAACCTCTTTTTTTTAGGTAGTAAGTCTCTTGAATTATGTTTGGAAAAAAATAAGGAATATGAATAGTCAAAGCACTTTCAAATTCTCAGTAGCATGTTCATTTATTTGATTTCCATCCATAGCTATTATTATGACAGAAGAATTACTAGCATCCAACTTCAATTTACATGTTTATAGATTATATTGGTTGTTAACTTATATGAAGAATGAGTAATAAGCATGGCTTTCAAACATTAGCTATATTTTTCTTGGAATAGAAAAATGATAAAAAATGGGAAAGTTTCATTTTACTTGTACAGTTTAGGCAAGTTTAAAGGATCTTTTTATTTCTTACAAATGTCAAGGTGAACTAGATACAGAGTAATGCCTGAAGAGCCATTGGGTAAGTCAGCAATGAATAAATTCTCAAATTTGGTTCCCAATTCCCTAACTTGATATATTAATTCTACCTTCTATCAGTCAGGTCCTTTTGCCATTCTATAAGATTTTTACATTGGAAATATGGAATCAGAGAATGTTCAAAGTGAAGAGTTCCCAAAGATAATTTCATCCAACTTGACCCATATGACATGGAGATCTATATGCATCTGAGTGTTTGAGTTTGGAGCTAGAAATTGACATTGAGCTGAATTAAACTGCATAGTAAAATGTAAAATTTGAAGTAAATTCCACAGGTCCATTGTACCATAAGAAAAGGCAGAAAAAGGGATCCTTTGTCATGGGGGCTTTAGAGGGAGGGACTTAAGAGATGGAACAAGCCAAAGATGGTTATCTAGTGTGGGTTTTATAATGTAAGTGGTGTTCTCATTGTTTTCTGTGATATCTCCAGCAAATTCTATCTCTCTCATTAATGCAAGTGGGTATTTTGGAGAAAAATTGGCTTATGGAGGAGATAAGGGGACAACTGATATTTGGATTATATTACAACTTTTTAATTTGCATTTGAAACATCTATGAAAGTCTATACATTTTGGACAATTTATTTCTTATTTTTTAATGGGAAATGTTCCTTAACAAATGAACAAGAAATTAAACTACTTAAGTGTTTCAACTGATTAGTTTGATGCTTCACGATCTTTCACTTGTCTACTCTTCTGTATTCCTTATAGCAGTCCAGGTCCTTCATGATAGGATCTGCATATGTCCATAAGATAGAGGAAGAAGGCTAAGAAAATATTTTTCTGTCTCCAAATTTTTTTCTGAGTGGATCCAAATTTCTTGTATTTTGGAGTGCCTTAGGGTTAAGTGATTGTTTCTAGAAAGTATCTGTTAAAATACTGAGGCTGTTATTAGACACTTCCCCGACATTTTTATGCATGTTCCGCTTTATTTCCAGGAGAAGGTAATTCAGAAGTAGTAATCTATTACAGAGGGAGACAGCATTAAGGACTAAACTAAGAAGATGGCCAAATAGAGGGAAACTTGGTTTGAATAACTTGGTGAGAGGCTTCCAGATTTCAGAGGATAATCGAAAGGCATAGATTTAAGGTAATGATTAAGGTGACATGGAAGTGAGGGACTAGTCCAAAGAGATGTTTCACATGCTTCATGTGCCTTTTCTATCCTGTCAAAAAAAAAAAAAGCTCAAAATATTAGAGAAAAGGGATAAAGAATCAGATTTAATTTCCAGTTATATTTATATTTCAATTGAGCTATTTTTCTCTTCTAAATGATCAGTATATTAGCATATTCTTTCCAGATGAAGTAATTTTCTTAACCACTCTCTCTTTTTAAACTTCTCCCACAAAAATGGGAAAACATTTAAAAGTCATTGGAGCTAGTTTCCTATTTACTTAGAAACTCAATTCTGTAGGCCATATTTATAACTCCTGGTTTAAACATTTACATTTACTCTCATGCCAGAGTCCTTTGATGACTGACTAAACCTGAGAGTTTAAAAGCTTGAAGAACAGAATATTTAGAAATAATATAGAAATATTTAGAAATAATAACAATTATGTAGTTTTATTTCTTTCAGTATAGAATGTACATGCAGAACTAATAGAAGATAAATATAAGAACTCTTACTTTGTGAATCCACAAAATGTAAATGCTCAAGGGTTTCTTATTAATTAAGATGGATTTTAAGCATGTATATAGTGTTAAAAATTAAATATTTTAATTTACCAACCATCTACTAATCTCTAATAAGGATGCATTCATGGAAATATCTATTGGTGCTGTAAGGAAAATTTTTTTCAGGTGTTTTCAATTTATATTTGAAATTATGGGGTTGAAAACTATGGGATCTTCATAAAATACAGGAAAATCAATTCTAAGTTTCTAGAACAGTGATAAATTTGATCTTTTGGGTGTTCTATATTTACCATTGTATTACAATATAGCATTTCTGTGCAAAGTAGATGGAGAGACTAATATTATTTTCATTTGTTAAGTGAAAAAAACATGGACAAAATATATGTATGGATGACAAAGGCGTGATTTTGTGAATTAGCACTACCATTACATCCAATGATAAGGATAGCGTGTTTGAGCAAGCTTTCCCCAAGGATTTATATAAAGAAAAAGCTAGAGTTACACACTGACTTCAAATCAAAGATGCCTACTTTTTCCCAGAGGCCAAAAGAAATGATATATAATTTACCAAAAAAGGAATTATTTTTTCTATTTATGAAGTTAGAAAGTTAGAATAGTATCCTTTTTTCCTTTTCTAATATAGGGTTTCAGATTTAAACAAAATAGTTTTCTCCAATGGGAATAATTCCACAGGCAGACATTCTTTTATTTCTGTCCATCTGTGGCATGAAAGATAACTCAGGCTCCATTATTCAGGACTCCTCTGTGCTACGTAAGAAATCCCATCTCTATCTATCTATAACCTATCACCTATTATCTCCTATCTTCTATGTATCTATGGTTTCTTCTGTTTGATTATTTAATTAGCACTCATACCTGAAAACGACATAAAATAAAATATGTTCAAAGAAAGTATACTTCTTTCATCATGACTGAATAAAAAAGTAATGCTTCTCTTCAGTATTTGTTGCTCTCCGTCCCTGTACGTGTCATAGGGCACCTGACAGTTTTGACTCAGTTATTTAATTAAATGAAATGACTACTTAAAACTAATTGTTGTTTTATGGTATCAGAGAAATTCCATTTCCTACTGGTTGAAATGTGTAGTTCTTCATCTTTAAAGCAAAAGGACAGAGATAGAGTAGACTTTCAGAGGTTGAGATCAGAAACTTGGGTGGGACAGAGTAAAGGAAGCGGTTTGAGAAAAAACATCTTTGAAAATCATCTTCGCTTTGCTTTGTTTTTAGAAATAATGTGAAATTTATTTTGAAATAAAAAGTAACATTGGGATCCCTGGGTGGCGCAGCGGTTTGGCGCCTGCCTTTGGCCCAGGGCGCGATCCTGGAGACCCGGGATCGAATCCCACGTCGGGCTCCCGGTGCATGGAGCCTGCTTCTCCCTCTGCCTGTGTCTCTGCCTCTCTCTCTCTGTGACTGTCATAAATAAATAAAAAATTAAAAAAAAATTAAAAAAAAATAAAAAGTAACATTAAGGAAGAACATGTGACTTTTTTATTAAAAGGGAGAAAAGAAAAAAGTGTGAAGCAGGGATGGAAAAAATAGGATACCCGGTGAAGGTTTAGGATTCTTCTAACCTCTAGAGGTATAATCAAGGCTCAAACTGTCATATACATGCATATTATATATATATATATATATATATATATATATATATAATGTATATATATGCAATTTTATATACATCTATAAAAAATTTTTTTAGTAGGCTTCATGCAATGTAGAGTCCAATGCAGAGCTTGAACTCACTCTGAAATAAAAATCTGAGCTAAGATCAAGAGTCGGATGCCATCCAGGTATTCCTATCCTATCTATAGTTTTATGACAAAGATTGTCATTACTGTCATTGTGTCCATTTTCTTCCCCATATCTCATTAACTGAAAATTCCATGAGTTATGCCACATTGTACCTAAGCATCCTACTGCAGGACCTGAATTGCACATGTGGGCCAGAGCTGGGGTGGGAGTGTAGAACTTTTGAGCAACCATTTTCATTGTTACTGTTCCTGTGGCTTTTTCTCGGTTTTAATCTGAGGCAACATAAACTTTTTTTAGACAGAACAGTTTTAGGAGAATGAAAAAGACATGGAAGCCTTGTGTATGTGTGTGTGTGTGTGTGTGTGTGTGTGTGTGTGTGTGAATTTTTCATTATTTATTGTCAAAAGCATATTTGGAGTATTAACTCCAAATTAGATAATAATAATAGATAGATAACTCCAATAATAGATACAGTTCAAAGTTTAGCTCTTTTAGTGAGTCTTATTTTCAAGCTTTGTCATTGGTTTGGTTAGAATTTTGCAAATATTAAAAACTAAAAAGTTCAAATAGTAAATCATGGATAAAGAACATGGTAATGAATAATAGGGACAAATCGTTTAAACTCTTATGTAAAATTTGATAAGCTGTTTTACATAACTAATGAATTGACAAGGTCTTGTGGTAAAAACAGTTCCAGATGGCAAACATACGCAACGGATTTAGTCAAACAATTTTTTTTTGGCAAGAATGATATGAATTTTGTAATCAGTTGGGAGCCAATGAAATACAAAGATGAGTCTGGTTAATAATCTACAATTATTGGTTAAAGAAGTATATTAGTGTGAATTTCCCTCTGTTCGTCCTACCTTTTCTCTTCTATCAACCCCACAAGCCTTTGGCACAATGAAGTGGGTAACTTTTATTTCCCTCTTCTTTCTCTTTAGCTCTGCTTATTCCAGGGGCTTGATTCGTCGAGAAGCACGTAAGAATTCTATTTTCCTATTGTTCAACTTTATTTTAGTTTCCTAGTAAAATAAATTTTATTTTGTAAAAGAAATTTTTAGAAAACCCTGCATCTTTCCAGAATTGCTCTCCTTTAGCATTTATTTCTAGACAGTAATGATATTTTATATTTGTGACCCCTTTGAAAGTTATTATTTTTTAAGATCTGAGAGAGAGCATGAAGTGGTGGGAGCAGAGAGAGGGAGAAGAAGGGAGCCTGAGGAAGTTATCTCATTAATATATTTCCAACATCCTATGTGAAAAAAAAATAGAATTATTTAGTAGCTGTAACTACCTTCTGTACACGAAGGAGCTTAGAGTGCCTTAAACTTCACAGAATATAGTTGATGTTAGAATTGATAGCTCCATATTCCCAAAGGCTATTGCACTGTGATTTATGAAAAAAAAACAAACAAACAAAAACAAACCCACAAACCTGTGTTGCTAATCTTGTAAATAGAACTTGTATTTATATTTTTCATTTCAGTCTGTCCTCTCAGCAGCTGTTAATAGACATTACAAGAGCATTAGATCTTATCCAAGTTTGAATATAAGGCTACAAATATTTAACGATTTTAATGATTTTTGAAATCATATCATTCGTGATTGAATAACTTATCTGTTTTAATGCAGATTGAATACTTCATCATTCTAAGATTTTTCTGTCGGGATAAGAGGCCAATATTTTGGAGCAAACGAATACTTAAGTCACGTGGAGAGAAACACAAAAGTAATATCATAACTAGGTCGTTTTCTTCAGAATGTAACAAATCTGTTTTTTTTTTTTTTCTTTCTTTTTTCCTCTTCAGATAAGAGTGAGATTGCTCATCGGTACAATGATTTGGGAGAAGAACATTTCAGAGGCCTGTAAGTTAAGACAGTGAAAAGTCAAATTTGTTTTTTCTAATAGCGTTGGTTATCATTCTGAAGTTCTTATATTCCTCAGTCATCAGAGACCAGGTTCTAGAACCACGCTATCCAATCAAAGTGTCTGCATTGATGGAAGTGCCCTATATCAATACTGTTCGATATGGTAGCCACTGGCCACACCACCTGTGGCTACTGAATGCTTTAAATGTGTCAAGTGCAACTGAGGGTCAGAAATTAAAGTTGCGTTTGATTTTGGGTTATTTGAATTTCTATAGCCCATGTGCCTACTGTAGCCCTGGAACTCCTATCCAACCTGCATGGTGGGAAAGACTTTAATACCTGATTCCTGTGGCAGCTCACTTAGTAAGTTCTTTTACCTAGCAAACAGATCTATGGTTTCTTGAGAGTATTTTAATATTTTTTAATCCAGTATAAAATGAGAAGTTTCTTTTTTAGAGGTCAATCTCATGCTACAGCCTGACGGAAAGAGAGGGATGTCTGTGTGTGTGGGGGAGGGGGAGGGGGTTGCTGTAAATAGTCAAAGGGCCTGTGTAATGTCCCTGGTCATAATAATTGGATTTATTTAGAATACATTTCACTTGCCTGCTCTATGTTTGTGCATCTACTGACATGCGCACACATGTATTTATACATGGTGTAGATACTGTCCTCTGTTCAGAAAGCCAAATATGCCTGCTTAGCTTCTGATAACAGCTGATGTGAATAGACTTTCTGGCTAATAGTGAGGTCTATAAAATACAGAACATATACAGACACACAGTTTGCTATCCAGCATAGCAAGCTCCTTTATTTTTTCTTGATTTTATTTATTCATGAGAGACACACAGAGAGAAGCAGAGACACAGGCAGAAGGAGAAAAAGGGTCCCTGTGGGGAGCCCGATGTGAAACTGGATCCCAGGACCCTGGGATCACGACCTGAGCCAAATGCAGATGGTCAACCACTGAGCCATCCAGGTACCCAGCAAGCTACTTTATATTAAAATTTCATCATGTTACATTTTTCTGTGTCCTTTGTTTCAGGGTGCTGGTTGCCTTTTCTCAGTATCTCCAGCAGTGTCCATTTGAGGATCATGTGAAACTAGCCAAGGAAGTGACTGAGTTTGCAAAATCCTGTGCTGCTGAAGAGTCAGGGGCCAACTGTGACAAATCCCTTGTGAGTACATTCAATTTGGGGGATTATTTCTTCTTCTCATAAGTGATCCTGATCATTTCAAAGGGAAAAAAAATCCCACTTAATATCCTCAATCACTGATTCATAAACAAGTCTCAAAAGTGAGCATTGCCGTTGTTTCTTCTATGATAGAGATGCTCTAGCTATATCCACAGTTTTCAAAGCCTTTTTTTTTATGAAGACCACACACAATGGTTGTAATGTATTTAAGTGGAAATTTTTTATATGTGAAAGTCTCTTTTTAAAATCTGAGGTTTGACTTCTTCTCCTGGAGGCTAACAGTGAAAGCATGGTTTTTTATCTTCCGGAGGCACTCATAAGATTTCTGTGGTAATTTTGTTTCTTAGTTAAAACAATAGTACAGTTGTATAGTCTTCATTTTAGGGATAGTTGCATTTTCACATAGAATAAAAAATAAGGGCATTTACTCATTTTGAAGGACTTTGACGTTTTGGTATTTCCAGGGAGGTGTTCAATTCAAGGAGAGGTCTATGTTTCTCTCACCGCTCAACCTTTCTGGGGCAAGGCCAGTTTTTATTTATCACTGAATTCTTTTCTCCTTTTATTTCTTTCTCTCTATGTATCTCTCCCTGAAGGTAGAATCAGTACTTTAACTCGATGTCTTTAACACAGAGTTATGGCTGTAAATATGAATTCTTAAAAATGTATTTATGGAAAATTAATAAATCCTGTCTTCAGCCGTATATTTTCCCCTGAAGTTCCAGTTACTTTCACGATAAACGTTGATGGGGACAGAAAGAATACATCTAATGGAACATGCTTTGAGGCAAAATGTTTCTAGAATAAAAGATCTATATTTTAACACAACAATAAACAGTAAATTGTGTTACTCCTCAGTGTTTAAGTTTTATCTACTTAAGAGCTGGACCTTTCGGAGAGGAGCAGATAAAGTGAGAAACTATCTGCAGCCTTTCTTCCTTGATGTGAATTCGCCTGCTACATAGAGGACTATCTTCCTCTTATTTTATTTATTTATTTATGTATTTATGTATTTATGTATGTATGTATTTATTATTTATTTATTTATTTATTTATTTATTTATTTATTTATTTTTTATTTTTTACTACTTTTCCCAGCCTGTGTGCAGCGCTAGGTAGAAATAGAGGCGATGTTCATTCCTTCTGGTTGCCCCAGGTGTACCCGCTCTTCTAGTCGTGTGGTGGGCAATTCCTAGGAAAATCCCACAGATGGTCAAATCAAAAGAAACTCTCCAAAGCTAAGGAAAAAAGGGGGATGTTCACATGATTTCCTAACCAGGGTTTACCGATGCTTTGACTTTTTCATACTGTTCTTTGGGCACAAGGAGCATCCAGTGCCTGCGGGTGACCTGGCCTGCTCTCTCCCACCCAGCACACCCTGTTCGGGGACAAGCTGTGCACGGTGGCCTCCCTCCGGGATAAGTATGGGGACATGGCTGACTGCTGCGAGAAACAGGAGCCCGAGAGGAACGAGTGCTTCCTGGCCCACAAGGACGACAACCCCGGCTTCCCCCCACTGGTGCCCCCCGAGCCTGATGCCCTGTGCACCGCCTTCCAGGACAACGAGCAGCTGTTCCTGGGGAAGTAAGTCTGCGGGCTCTGTCCCCCCCAGGCCTGGGAGCCTCTGCTGCAGGGACCAGTGTCAGAGCCGAGATGTTTGTGGAGCAAAATGACTGCCTGCTTTTCTTTTTGAAAATGTAGATACCTGTATGAGATTGCCAGAAGACATCCGTACTTTTATGCCCCAGAACTCCTCTACTATGCTCAACAGTACAAAGGAGTTTTTGCAGAGTGCTGCCAAGCTGCTGACAAGGCTGCCTGCCTGACCCCCAAGGTAGGCCGCAGGGGAAGAGGAGGACCCGCTCATCATCAGACCCACACTCTGAGCATCTTAGGGCCGGATTCAGGGAATCGACATCTCCCTTACAGACTGCTTTACACGGTTAAAAAAGCCGTCCTCCCTCTCTACTCACCCCAAGACCTTTCACGATCTAAGGCCCCTGACCTCCTCCTGCCTCCTTCTCAGATTTGCCAAAGTGAATCTGATAGAGGAATACGTGTGTCTAGATATCTCCCTTCTTGCATGGTGTCGGTCACTCTAATGAAATGCGGAAACTGTTTGTCTTTTCATGAGCCTATTTTATTGGGGAGGGAATTCAGAGTGGAGACTCCAGCTGTACCCAGAAGGCTGGGTTTATCCATTCATTCCATAAATATTCCTTACATACGGCCTCCTCATTTCCAGGGAGCTTATGATGTGAGGGTTGGTGGAGGACGGGCTAAGATGAATTACATGAAAAACTAAGAGGTCACATCTGAAGTTTTGAAAGAGCATTTTGTGTAGAATTTTCCTTTTCTAATTTTTCCAAAATATTATTATTATTATTTATTTTATTATTTATTTATTTACTTATTTATTTATTTTTTTGCAGATTGATGCTTTGAGGGAAAAAGTACTGGTTTCATCTGCCAAGGAGAGATTCAAGTGTGCCAGCCTCCAAAAATTCGGAGATAGAGCCTTTAAAGCCTGGTATTTCAAACTTAGTTTAAATCTTTATAAGGATGTAAATGGTTATGATCCAGTAGACAAAAATGTACATTTACATGGCATTTTATGTGGTGCTTTCCCATACATCTTTCTAGTCATTTAAAAGGTATAAATTTAACAGTGGTGAAAATCAGAGCGTCAGTGAGAATTCCTCATTATTTTTTTATTGTATTTTTTCTAAGTAGTCAAAGAATTTAGAGGGTGTCTTTCTTTTTGTCCTTGTAGGACAGGTATTTAAACTTCTATTTATTTAGAAAGACTAGGGACCTTATTCTAATGATCCATTCATTTTATAAAGCAGTAGTCAGGGTCCTCTACCTAAATTTATCCCCCAAACAACACAATTATCTGAATATGTTTGTCCTTTCATGTTCTGATAATTAAATTTAGCCATCAAGGTTAGTTCTCAGTTTCTCACAGCTCTAGCTCTGTTGTTAATCTCTTCTATTTGTCTGGGCCTCTGTTTTTATATTACTTAGCCGGTTTTAGGAACAACCTCCAATTCCTAAACCAAGAAAAATCCCCTCCCCCATGCCTCACTTGCTAGTCAACAATGAATTGACAGCAACAGGGTATAAAATGAAAATAATAGACATCCTGCAAGCACTCTAGAAACCATCATTTGAGCTATCTTTGCCTGCTATCCCTACACCTACACCAACAAGATCAGCTAATGAAATCAGTAAACGAAACCCCCCGCAACATGAAATGATATGCAATTAAACAGGCTGTGATCGGTTTTGGGGGAGGATGAAGCTTTTATCAGATTTAGGAGACACTGACTTGATTTGGGGAAGCATATGGATATTAACATGTTGTCAGAAAGCTTAGGTAGTGCGCTGGATCAACGGCTTAGTAAAAGTATGCTCCACCAAAACTCCCTCATTCTGTAGAAGTTACAAAACTTCTTTTCTCAGAGACTCTTAGATGTCAGAAAGATTGAGTTTAAAAAGATAACGGGAGTTTGCATGGAATATTCTAGTTTATAAAATACTTTCACATGGATTAGTTTAATTCTCACATCAGTCCTTCAGTGTAGCGTGCTGTTGCGATCGTGTAGAGGCTGAGGTTCACAGAGGCTGGGGAGCTTGCCTAGTGTCCCAGCCAGATCTAGAAGCAGGGTCTGGACTCCAAACCTGATGCCTCTCCCCACGTTGCCTCTTCTAGAATCCCTCTTTGATTTATGCTTTTATGAATCCCTTGACTTCTATCCACCACATACACACTCACAGTAGCTAATTCTGCCCTAAGGAAACGCCTTGCCCTCAGATAACCATGTGGTACAGAGCTAGCATTAACAGAAGAACAAATACATTTTACAAAGCTTATTGATATGCTATTTTGCCCTGAATTTTCTTGTTCTAAATAGGACTTTCCTAATGCTTTCACATAAAATATTGTATGTCAATAATGTTGTCACGGGCGAATTTTCTTTTTAGGTCAGTAGCTCGCCTGAGCCAGCGTTTTCCCAAAGCTGAGTTTGCAGAGATTTCCAAGGTGGTGAGAGATCTTACCAAAGTCCACAAGGAATGCTGCCATGGTGACCTGCTGGAGTGTGCAGATGACAGGGTAAAAAATCCGCAGTATGCTCTTTGGTGACTTACACGGTCAGTTGGGAGGGTGAATTTGCTTGGGATGATCGATCGGTGAAGCCAACAGTGGGCTGAGATTATTTCCTGTGCCTAATCTGCTCAATTCTTTCCCTGCCTTATGGACTTTTTTCTTTTCTTTTCTTCTTTAACCTGGCTATCTCACTCACTAAATGATCTGATAAACACATTCACTCATTTGTAACCCTTTCAGTCCTATTCTGAGGCAAAGTCTTACACTGAAGTAGGACAGCTGATACAAAGGTAGATTTCTAAGAAGACTTTTTTTTGGGAGGTGGGTGGAGTTCGAGAGGTTCTGCTATCTGAAGAGATCTTTGGAAATTATGTAGTTTTTTCCCGCTTTATATTCTCTCTTACTTAACCATCTGTGCTACCTATACAAATATGTTTAGCATGATATCACTTTTCTCCAAACTTAAAAATTTGACCAAATACCAGAATCTTAATCTCTCAGAATTCTTTCTGGAATACTAAGGCAAAGATTTTACATGTATGAGTAGGGCCTGTGACTATGGTCCTGACTAATTTTTCAAAGATCTCTCACATTTTATTTCATTATTTGGTTTCAAAATGCCTGTACTTAATTTGAGGGGAATATTTGAAAAACACTACTGAGTTTTAATTTAGAAACTTAAATGCCAAAAAAAATTTTTAAATACCTTAACAGTTGAAATATAAAATTATTAATAACCGAGATGGGCCCCTGTTACCGACCAGTCTCTTGTAAATGAGGGGAAACATTATATAGTAGTTCTATCTGAGTCTCTAGTCTTAGGAACATGGGCTAAATGTGTTCATAGAAGTCATGTTGGTGTGTGTATGGTCTTTGAATACAATAAACATGTTTTGCCAACATAATAAAGAGAAAGTGCAGAAATGTTGATTTACATTGAAAAATTTTTATCAACTTGCTTATAGGCGGATCTTGCCAAGTATATGTGTGAAAATCAAGATTCAATCTCCACTAAACTGAAGGAATGCTGTGATAAGCCTGTGTTGGAAAAATCCCAGTGTCTTGCTGAGGTGGAAAGAGATGAGTTACCTGGTGACCTGCCCTCATTAGCTGCTGATTTTGTTGAAGATAAGGAGGTTTGCAAAAACTATCAGGAGGCAAAGGATGTGTTCCTGGGCACGTAAGTGGATAAGGAATAACCCTTCCATAGCTTTTATGTGGTCTCAGGATTCAGGAAGATAAATAAACTGGGCTTTCTATAGGCATTGCTACAATTTCCATGTTGTCTACAGTATTTCTTTATCCTTCCCTCTCCTAGCTTTTAATTTTTTTGGGGAAAAATTAATTAGCTTAAAAAATTATTATAAACTGTGTATTATAATACACGCTTATGGCAAAAACTCAATCAGTAGAAAAGAGAATAGGAAAGAGAAGTAATAAAAATTTCTATCTTTATCCTCACCCCATTCATTTTCTCCTTAGGGATATTTCTGGAAATATGTCTAGGAACATTCTGTGTATACGTAAATTATATACATATTATTTATTCATTTGTTTACTCAAAGAGTATTTCTTGAACTTACTACAATAGATATGTGTGAATATATGTCATGCATCCTTATATCTCTGTGTTTATGTATCTATCTGTCTCTCCATCTGCCATTTATTCACCTATATAAGGAAGTATAAAAAGAAATATGGAGTCTGCTACTAACTAGGTGCTTTATATTTGGTTGAACAGACTAGAAATACAGTAGCATGGCAGGATAGCATGAAATTAAGTGACAAAATAAATGAGTATATATAGTCAGTAAGTTTGATGATAAACTTTGCATTTTTATTGTTGGATTGTTTTTTTTTAAAGATTTTATTTATTTATTCATGAGAGACAGAGAGATAAAGGCAGAGATACAGGTAGAGGGAGAAGCAGGCTCCATGCAAGGAGCCTGATGTGGGACTTGAACCTGGGAATCCAGGATCATGCCCTCATTGTTGGATTATAGGAGTGTAATGTGCACTACATATTTTACATAATCATATACCCTTCAAGATTTCACTCATTCAGAGAGGAAAAAGAAAAATTTAAGAATATATCTCTGTCAAAACCCTTTTGTGGTATAGTCCAAATTCTTAAAAATACACATAATAATAACAGGTGTCACTCATCAAACATTTACTATGTGCCAGACAATGTGTTTTTGCATTGATTACGTCATGTATTTCCCACAACCCATCTTATGAGATAGGTACTGTTATTATCCACAGTCTACAAAGAAGGCAACTAAGGCCATGATGGTTTTAGTAAATTGCTTAAGGTGATATAGTAAAATAATGGCAGAGCCAGGATTGGAATGCAGGTAGCTTTAATTCTGAACTGCAGCCCCTTAGCCACTAAACTTCCCTGCATGGGGTCTGGTCAAATTCAGACTTTTGTGATATGAGTTACTCTTGAGTTAGGTATGTGACCTTTCTTGTTGGTATCTAACTAAATCCAAGTAAAACTATTTTATTTTCATCTGAATCAGGTTTTTGTATGAATACTCAAGGAGGCATCCAGAGTACTCTGTCTCATTGCTTTTGAGACTCGCCAAGGAATATGAAGCCACATTAGAGAAATGCTGTGCCACCGATGATCCTCCTACATGCTATGCCAAAGTGGTAGGTTTCTCAAAGGGAAAAAGTGTCATCCTCTGGCTGATGATCCTTAATAATGAGAAAAAAAAAATAATTCAAGAATGTGAGTTGCTAAATAGTGCGATTTAGATCTTTTCTTGGTGTGGTTTCAGTTTTGTGCTCTTAAATATTACAGGAAAAATAGCTTTAAATGGAATGGTTAATAAAACCTAGAATAGTCTAGAAAGGAAAGATCTAAAGGGAGCAGTCTCTAATTTCACAAAATTTTGACCATGCTTTTTTTCATTTTTACACTCCTGAGAACAAAATAAGATAAATTTAAGTGTTAAGAGGCTTAACTTAGATATGAAGTTAACCGGATTCTAAGACTTACCAAATATCAAGAATTAGCATCTTAAGGAAGATTGTGAAATCTATTCATTTAGAATATTTTCAGATTTTTTTGGAAAAAGTTTAGAGATAGTTTTACAAGACTTTAAGTAAGGAGAGGAAATCTTGAGGATTTTTGCCATATTCAGCTATAGTTTAAGAGGATTTTAAGATGTTTAAGATATTTAGCACTCCTGGCATATATAGTAAGTAGTTTCCAAACTTCAAAATCAAAGGAAAGTCATTCTTTCCTCTATACCTACTATATGCCAAACACCATACTGGAGCCAATGACTAAGGTAAACTCTCTTATCTCAGGGAGCTCAGAATCCAACTAGATAGATGGCTTAATAATGATGATATAGTCAGAGGCATCATTTGTTAAGCTTTTATTATCTGCCAGGCACTGTTTTAAATTCATTAGCTCAGGTGGTTTGTAGAACAATTCTTGAGGTGAATACCATCTTTATCCCAATTAAAATTTTTTTTTCTTTTTCTCCTCTTTTGTCTTTTTATTTCTTTCTCTCTCTCTTTTTTTTTTGATCCCCATTTTAGCAGCAAGGGTTTTGAAGTTTGGAAATGAGGGGTGTAATTACACAATTAGAAAATGAGTTGGATGGTCTGGTTCTTTTTTTTTTTTTTTATGATAGTCACACAGAATGAGAGAGAGAGAGGCAGAGACACAGGCAGAGGGAGAAGCAGGCTCCATGCACCGGGAGCCTGACGTGGGATTCGATCCTGGGTCTCCAGGATCGTGCCCTGGGCCAAAGGCAGGCGCCAAACCGCTGCGCCACCCAGGGATCCCGGATGGTCTGGTTCTAACACCAGCAGTAACACTCCAGAGCCTGAGTATTCTTAATCTCTTATATTGTACGCCCTCCCTGAATAAAATAACAGTTTGAACATGTTTGATAGATTTGGCATCAAAGATCTAATTACATGACTTTGAGCAGAAAGGAGGAAGGATCTCATTCTGCCTAGAGGGGTGTAAAAAAACCCTGTGTTTGGTCCTCAGGCGGAATTCTATCAACACCATTCTTTTACCTTTCAGCTTGATGAATTTAAACCTCTTGTGGATGAGCCTCAGAATTTAGTCAAAACAAACTGTGAACTTTTTGAAAAACTTGGAGAGTATGGCTTCCAAAATGCGTAAGTATTTTTGTTTATCGGCTGATTTTTTTTTCTTGATCAATTTGTTATTATTTGAGACTCAATATATATACCACTTATCATAGACATTTTATTCATGAAAATATAGTATATATTCCTAATCCCTCTCTATCAAGAAAGACTGGAGAGGGAGAGATAAAATGGTTAATGGAATGGAGAGGCCTATATTTGAGTGCAGTTTAAAAAATTGCCCTCTTGAGATTAGAAAGGGAAATAGCAAATCATGGAATATAGGAACCACGGATGCCCCTTGAAGGTTAAGGAACAGCTTATGGGCAAACAAAACATAGCAATGCTTTATAAAGGAGGCAGTGGTAGACTTTGAATAATAGTAGCTCAGAAGTAATATATAAGCTGATAGAATAATGTCCTGATCCACATAGAGCCTTATCTATGGAAGTAAAGATAAAAGACACATCATTCAGTAGATATTTACTGTTCAGTTTACATATGTTAGCATTCTTCTAACTATGGGTGCTGGGGATAAGAACAGAAAACCAGATATAGTATCTTCTCTTGAGTAGATCGTAGTCACACATGACTTTTGGTGGTGATTTGAACTCTTAATAAGTGATTATTATGTGCTAGATACTATGCCAGGTTGATTGCATACTTTATTTTAATTTAATGCTTGCGCCATCCCTATTGAGTCAGATATAATTTTTTTCCATTTTATAGATGAGAAAACTTATACATATCTTTCAAATTTAACATGATATTGACACATATTAAGATGTCAGTAGGTTTTATTGAAAGAAAGAAACAATAAATAAATATACTAGTGTCATTGAGTTATGATAAAGTAAGTCCCTTTCCTAAGATTGAAGAGCACAGGTGGAAACAAAGATAAGCTTAACTAGTCACTCAGGACCAGGTCCTCCCACATACTACTCAACCAACCTGGAGACAGAGATAATTTAATGGATGGAAAGTCATTTTAGTTAATTTTACCTAAGCGTTCTCTGCCTGACTTACTATGTTAGAGAAAGACAGTTTCTTGCCTGGCTGAAAACACATGGACTATTCTGTTACAGGCTCTTAGTTCGTTACACCAAGAAAGCACCCCAAGTGTCAACTCCAACTCTCGTGGAGGTCTCAAGAAAACTAGGAAAAGTGGGCACCAAATGTTGTAAGAAACCTGAATCAGAGAGAATGTCCTGTGCTGAAGACTATGTGAGTCTTTTATGTATAATAAATTAATAATTAATTTTTGCCTTTAGAAACGGACAAAGCTAACTTTCAGAAACAGGGCTGAACTAACATGTATGTGCATGCACGTGTGTGTATTTGGTAGTGGCAGCCAGGACTTGGTCATCTATAGTATCCTGAACGAGGGTTTGTATAAGATCCCCAAAATGATAAATTGACAAAAATTCCATGAATTTTCTATGTTTAATTCTAGCAGTTAAAACACTTTCATATTCTTTAGGGTATTTTTAAAATATGTATCAGTGTAAGACTATTTCCTTCCTACTCTAATACATATCCTAAGACTCACGTCAAATTATTTTAATCAATTATTTTCTCAAGTGAATTATTCTTAAAATGTAGACATATTTAAGAGAAAATACTTTTAAAAGTCCCTCATTATTTGTAGTTCCAAAGTTAAGCAAACCACTTCCTCAAATCAACCTTAGATTAAACATTGCTAGTTAAAATATAACATACCTTTTAGTCCATTGGAAAGTAGGAGTTCATGGAAAACTTTTTTTTTTTTCGTGGAAAACTTTTTAATGCTTCTTTTGAATTTCTACCCTCCTACCTGTTCTTTAGCTGTCCGTGGTCCTGAACCGGTTGTGTGTGTTGCACGACAAGACCCCAGTGAGCGACAGAGTTAGCAAATGCTGCTCAGAGTCCTTGGTGAACAGACGACCATGCTTTTCTCATCTGGAAGTCGATGAGACCTATGTTCCCAAAGAGTTTAATGCTGAAACATTCACCTTCCATGCAGATTTATGCACACTTCCTGAGGCTGAGAAACAAGTCAAGAAACAAACGTGAGTAATATTTCATTACTGTAAGCATTTGGAGTCTTGAGAGTGAGAGCTGTAAATTGAAATGTGTAACTTTTTCTGAGGTAGAGATTATGTTCTTTAGAAAATAGTATTTATGTATTGGTCTTAGTAAGCTGATAAAAAATGTCAAGAATAAAATGGATAGCGTTTTGTTTTCTTAGCAAAAAACCCTCTGTGGTATAATCTTGTCTACAAATCATTCAGAATATTCTTATGGATAAAAGCTACAGTGGAATAGTGTCTTAAGACAAGTTCATCAGAAAAAGATGAACAATTAACTGATGCATTTGTGCAAATAACAAATTAGTTATTAGAAATCATGGAATTTATTTCTAGGCATGAATGGTTATTTTAAGTTTGTTCCATGGCAACCCACAGGCAAGGCAAATCCTCAACATATAACTTTTGAGAATTGGACTTGAGTGAAAAATATCTAGGAAAATGAGTTCTGAGGCTTGAAACCCTATTGCTGTCACAGGAGTTGGAAATGCATGAAATTTAGCACCATAAAGTTGTTATCTTGGTGCATATTAGTAAATGTTTATAGTGTTATCTTGGGGGTTCTAATCATGGCCACAGACTTATGGGTAATATTGCAAAACCCCCAACCTCTCTCTAGCACTATTATCCTTGTGGATGTCAATGAAAGAGAACCACTACCAGCTTCTGTCAGTTTGGATAGTTTTATTATCTATGGCCTCTCCCATATTAACTGAATGGGGTAAATTTTGCAGACCAAATATAAAGACTCTCAGATCATAAACTTTTAAGATGGAGTCCAACAGGATAATTAAGCTTTTAAGGATCAGTTTTAGTTCCTAAATCACGAGAAAATTCCATTCAATATGGTATAACTGCTTTTGTTCTATTTAATATTGTATAACTACTAAAATCTGAATAATGTATAAATGCAATGACATCCTTTCCAGAGACTTACTGAAAAGAGATCTATTGATTTATTAATACTACAGATGTTGAGCAATTTACATTGATTATCTCTTTTGATCCTTCCACCAACTCTGGGAGGGTGGACTTTATTCTCATTATGCAAGCGAGACTATTATGCAAGCTTAGAGTGGTAAGCCTGGGCCTCAAGCTCAGAGTTGCCAGGCTCCACGACTTATAATCTTAAACAATAATGCAACTGTCTCTACCATCTCTATTTTTCTTTTTCCCTTTTTAGAAAATTGAAGTGTAATTGACACACAAGGTCACATTAGCTTCAGGTGTACAGCATAGTGATTTGACAAGTCTATACATTATACTGTGCTCGCCACAAGTATAGCGACCATCCTTCACCGTACAACACTATTACAGTATCATTGGCGATATTCCCTCTGCTGTGCCTTTTAATCCTACGATTTACTCATTCCATTACTTTCTATACGTAGGCAAACTTTTTTCCCCTGATTTTTGCTGTTGTTTTCTTTTCATTCTAATGCAGTGCACTTGTTGAACTGCTGAAACACAAGCCCAAGGCAACAGATGAACAACTGAAAACTGTTATGGGAGATTTTGGAGCCTTTGTAGAGAAGTGCTGCGCAGCTGAAAATAAAGAGGGCTGCTTTTCTGAAGAGGTACTGGAGTTCTTCATTGCGACATGACTAATTTCCTTTCTTGTTGCATTTGATCTGGCCAGGACTTAGGGTTTTGTATGTCTGAAGGACACTGTATATTCAAGACCAGAATCTTATTCCACATACAATTATCTGACAAAATTTCTTCAATAGTTCTAATTTTTTATCTCCTGCTGCACTTGGAGCATATTAGTAAACATTTATAGTGTTTGTTCTGTTTCCAAAGTTGTGGTGTTTATAAATACAGATAGAAATATTTGTAAGGCTCAAGTTTTTGAGATGATACATTAATTTATTTAAACATATTTTTGAAAAAATGCTGGTTTGTGATTTGGTTGAATTTGAGTTTGATTTTCTAGGTTAATGGGGGAACTTTATATTTAAATGTCTGAATCATTTACTATTCCCCCTATGACTTGAGGGTAATGTTTTTATTCCTTTGGGAACAATGGATGCCAGTAACCTTCCTTGTAGAGATTCTACTACCAAAGTGGAATTAAAGAATGTGATTCGTGTAAAATTAGCTTGTAATTACAGATGGCTGTATAATTTTTTATCCTAATAGTGATGCTAATATTTTTCCCTAATCTGTCATCTCTCTGTATTCAGGGTCCAAAACTCGTTGCTGCTGCTCAAGCTGCCTTAGTCTGAAAGAACACAATAACAAACATCTCAGGTAACTATACTTCGGATTTTGGTTTTTAAAAAGTAATTATAATAGTTACTATTAAAATAGCAAAGATTGACCAATCATTTACCAAGAGCCATATAGACCAGTGCCAGTCACCGTTCTAAGACCTTTATATGTATTAACTTATTTAATTCTCAAAATAGTAGCCTGAATTGAGTGCCATTAGTTTTCCCATTTTTCAGATGAGAAAATGAAGGCACAGATAGACATAGGTTCCATAATTTACCCAAGGACCATCCGGCTCATGAGGGGTGGAGCCCCAATTCAAAATTCAGACCAATGCTTGAGAGTTAACCAGTTTCCTATTCTGACCTAATGTGACACAGTAGATAGAATCATTCAACTAAGCAATGGTTTAACAGTGGGGTGTTTAGATAGTAGGCTGGACCATATGAAAGTTTTAAGGTAAAAAACAGTTTAATAGCAATAATTTCACACGGTTCAATCTAACAGCCCAGTAACAAAGTAATTTTATTGGAGAATGTGATAGATCTACCTTATGTAAATTTGTACTTTATAGTGAGTAACTTGCTGCTAAGCCCACTTTAAAATTTAAATGCTTGAACATAAACATATTCATCCATTTTGGTTGTAATATTCTGGGGGAAATTAAAAAAATAGTATCAGCTTTCTTTTTAAAAACAAACTGTCCAACTATTTTCTAGCATGAATTATTTTCTGTCCCTACTACTAGGTTTTCACTTACTCTTTGCCCACCTGATAATACCTACATATTGTGCATTCAAGGGAGGAAGCAACTTTGTATCTTTGTAAATTCAATCTTCTTAAAATGTGATTTGTTTTCATCCTAAATGGCAAGATTTTCTTCGGAAAGTTCTAACTTTGAGAAGACACTTGTTTTGTTGGTAATTAATTTAGATAAGAAGTAGATATTAAGTAAGTGATGATGACAAGCTTGGGATTTTGAAGCCTGAGGAACTGATGACATCAGAGACAAAGAGAGGACTTTACAATACTTATTGGTGTGTCCTCTGCCCCAGCCCAATAGAAGAATTCAGAGTCTAGGACAGGCTGAATGATTTTCTTTTGTGGAAATTGCAGGAAGACAATCTAAGCAATTCAACATTGATTTGAATAGATTTCAAAGCTCAGACCATTTTACAAACAATACTTATATTTGTCTTTTTGTCTTTTAGCCTTCCCTGAGAATAAGAGAAAAAAAGAGAAATGAAGACCTAGAGCTTATTCATCTGTTTTTCTTTTCTGTTGGTGTAAAACCAACCCTCTGTCTTAAGAACACAAATTCTTTTAAACATTTTGCCTCTTTTCTCTGTGCTGCAATTAATAAAAAATGAAAAGAATCTAACATTATTGTCCAGGAGTGTTATTATTTTTCACAGATGTATTGCCGTCCTGAAAATTGTGTAAGATCTGTGAATATCCCACTGTTCTCTCTTTTCCCACTTCAGTCTAGTTCTTTAGGGGCTAACTGATGAAAAGAAGCATTAATAATCTTCTGAGTTATGGATCATAAACATTCAAATAAATATTTTAACATTATGATAACTCTGAATAAAAGAATGAAAGCTGGTATAGGCTTTTCCTTACTACCAGGACTAAGGTATGTGACAGACAAAGAGGATAGAGATGATTGTAAGAGTGGTTAATTGAACTGGAAAAAAAAACTGAAAAAAAAAAAAAAAACCTGAGCCTCAAAAAAAAAAAAAAAAAAGGTAAGGCAGTTTAAGATGACAATACATGAACAGGTGTAAGAAGTTTAAGTTCACCACCTGTTTGGAGGAGCTTTGTTGGAGGGGGGATCAAAAGATCTGAACACGGGGGCAATAGAAGAGTGAGAAAGACATATAGGACTGAGAGAGTGCAAGAGTTGAAAGGTGAAATGTAAGAATTGAGATGTTACACTCAAAATTGAGCCTCTTGTCCCTGTTCCCAGAGGTAACCACTGATATAAGACAGTTATCTATGACTTTACATGCATAATAGTCATTTATAACCTTATTAGGTTGTGTACTTTAGAATTTTTTATAGAATAGATCTCATATGTACCTGCCATCCACAATTTATCTTTTTCCCTAATGATGTTTTATAGTTTCATTTTAAGTATGATGCTTGCAAAAGATTTTTGTACCAAGTTTAGAAAGTCTCCTTTCATTTCTGGAATGTTGCATCCCACAGCCTCCCCCCCTCCATCCCTCTATCTCCACCCATTTCCACACACCACCTACGTTGGCCTCACCACTGACTATATCAAATACTTTTCCACATTGGACACAATCATCACAAAGTTGAGAGAGATCCTAGAAGGGGAAAAGTGGAGATGGTAGGCACTGGCTCATCAAAGACCCTGGAGACAGATCTAGAAAATTTTGAATAAGATGTTTTCACACAAATGGGCCCACACAGGATCAGGTCTGGGTGCCCTACCTGGATGGCATTGTCACTTGGTCAGTGAAGGAGGACTTAAAACTTTTGGAGGAAGAAGCTCCAAAACACAGAACTCCCAGAGTTCAGCTTCCCTGCTTCCTAAGGGGTAAGATTCCCCTGGGGAGCTCGGACATTTGAGGCTGAGTGATTCAGGAGCCCAAGGCCTGCTCTACTTCTGACAGGGCAGCCTAGTAAGTGCCACTTTATGCTAGTATGAATTCATGTATATTTACTTTGTACTTTGGGTTATAATTCAATGCTACGTATTTTTTTGTTGTTGTTGTTGCTCAAATTATTTCAGCTTTGGCCTTTGTGAGTTCTTTCAGTTTGGCTTCTGAGTCCCTCTTACTTGCCCCCATACTTGACTTTTTGAGCATTTCTTTACTCTCTGGCACTCGGAGATACTCCAGGCTCATTTGTTACTTTCCTTTCCTCAGACCTGGAAACAGTCATTTCTTCAAGGATCTCTGGTTCTGTTGAATACATAGTGGTGTTTAAACAATAATCTGAGCATGGGTTGTACTTGTTAATGAGGTCTCACTGCTTCTAGACTCTTTCAGGGAAGAGAGCTAAGAAATGTGGGTTTGCATATTAGCTCATTTACAAACACACCTGTAATTATTTCTGTATTATCTATCATCTATCTATCATTTATCTAGCTGTCTATCATCATCTACCTAGCTATCTACATAGATAGATAGGGTTCATACTGATGTCTCTGACTATTCCCAGAACCACAAAGTTCATTCAGACCTTCCTTTCTTGCATATTTATTACTTAGCTCTTTCATAGAAGCTTGGCTCCCATTACTTACCATGAATTTACTTATTTGTTCAACCCCAGGATACATATGAAAAGTTTCAAAATTATTGACCCATACCTCCATAGGAAACAAATTTACTGACTAGAGTACAGTGACTATATACCTTATAACCCTATTTTTCAGTTACTGAGCTCCATTTTTCTTCTACCCTCTTTAGTGAGGTTGTGACTGGTGAGTTTTGGGTGACTCACTCACATTGGACACAAGATGAACTTAGGGTTTGGGAGGTTGACTGAGTTTTGGCTTGAACTGCATCCGTGGGTCCATCCAGCAGTTTTTTTTCCTGTCTGTGTTCCAATAAGACAGCCTCTGTCTTCCGTATGCAAAGGTGGGAAGTGGTGACAGGTGTCCTTTGTGTACTTCCTTCCATTGGCACCCAGGATGGTCGTTCTAATCCTTCCACAAACTCCACATCAAGTGTCATGTAGTCTTCAGGGGTTTACATGTCTATCTATTCCAAGGGCTTTGTAGACAATTGCTTTGCAATGCCACTGGGCCTTTCCAGCTGAGGTCCTCTCTTGCTTCTGTCAGTTTGGTTATGTCACGCTCCTCTGCCAAGTATCTTAAACCCTGCCAAATACCCCTTGTTGGAATGGAATCACTCTTGCGTCATCACAGGGCCCTCACCTATCATCCCTGTTGGTGGCTGTGTGTGGAAACTAGGAGTGGAGTTAACATTGAAAGAGTTTGTATTCTAGAAATGCAGTGATTATGACCTAAAAGTTCAGTAGAAATATGGGTGGAAGATGTGCTGATCTATGTTTATGCTAAGAAAGTCATAATGATAAATTTAAAAAGACCGGAGACATTTGTGGTTATCATCAATGAGGCACAAGGATAACATTCAAGAGAATCATCGGAAGCCAGAATTTATGGTGACATGATGGTCTCCATCCTCCAATGATGTGTCATTGTGAAGAATGATGTAACCAGTGCTACTTTAAATAGGTGATAATTGAGAACCATAGAGGTAAGAAGGGATATTCTTTTGTTTCAATACAAATGCGATCACGCCATGAATAACAACAGCACTGCTACCTTGAGATTATAGATAGAAAATTAGCCAGAAATGAGATCCATTTGACAATAAAGAGGACAGTGCCGACAAAGAGAGTATTGGGACCTGAATAGGAGGATATGCTGTCTGGACATTAGGATGCATCTTCATGTGCACTTACTGGACAATAAAGCACGTAAGTATCACTTCTCTCTCTATCCATTATTTTAAATCTTAAGTAATAAATTAATGAATCTCACATGGGCCCATGCTGGTGTTGCATAAATCCAGAGGACATTATTAATATGGAATAAAATGTGAAGAGTGCCACCTGGAGTTGAACAACAGGGGCCCAGTTATTTTATTACCATTGTTAACATTTTAGGGATTTGGTTTCCAAAGGTTGTGGTTGACAGTGTGATGAACATGGTTTTATACCGGATGTGTGGGCTATGTGGACATTACGCATGGAATCACACAGTTTCCACCCTTGCTTCTCACCTGACAACTCTCTTTGCTCCTCTTCAGTCACTTTATAAAGTGATTACCTTTCTCATCTCTTTTTTCACCTCCCCTTCAAGATTCTAAGCAGTTTGAACTTCATACTATTCCTTAATACACCGTGCTTTTTTGTGCTTTCTTTTTTTTTTAAGATTTTATTTTTTGTTCACAAGGGACACACAGAGAGAGGCAGAGACACAGGCAGAGGAAGATGCAGGCTTCCTGCGGGGAGCCTGATGGGGCACTCGATCCCAGGACCCTGGGATCACGGCCTGAGCCAAAGGTGGACGCTCGACCATTGAGCCACCCAGGCGTCCCTTTTTGTGCATACGTTCTTCTTCTACTTGGAATGTCTGTCTGTCTGTCTCTTCTTCACCTACTTAATTCAACTGAAAGGTCACCTTCTTTGAGGAAATTTCCATGCATTGTTAGTCACTTCCTTCCCTGATGCCCCTTCACTTTTGAACTTGAATTATTGTGGCATTCACCCTTAATTGTAATTATGGGAGATTTTATATCCACTTTAAACATGTTAAATCCAGTTCTAGACCTGAAATTTAAACACACATGGTGCTGACTCTTGAGAGCAAGCTCATTTAATGGTATCAGTTCATTTATATATCTCTCTTCTACTAACCAGTATTACTCATCAGAAGGGACATGGAGTGGAAGCCCATGTGTCTGCACTTATCATAACCTGGTACCTGGTGCATATTCAATAAAAATTAGAGGAATAAATTTATTTATACTAAGGGCTATAAATATTCTAAACTAAAAATCACAGAATCCTGGCTTATAATAATTTCTAGAACTTCCAAAACAGTAAATATAGTAAAGGGAATTTTATGCAGATTTGTATCATGCAAGTTTATGCTTTAAGGTAATAATAATGATACATTTTATTTAAAAATGTGAAATAATGAAGATGACTTCAAATTACAATGTCTCAAGAACTGAATGTTTAAAGCTGATTGACCGAGTAATGTTCCATTTGGTGGTGTCGCTTTTGCACCAGCTCAATTGATCTAAAATTATCCAAATTATCTCTCATGTGAGTAACTGACAAGTATATGAATACTTTTTAAAAAAAGTATATGAATACTTATATGACACCAAAGAAAGTGCTTTAGTATTTTGAGATATATCTTTTGGGAAAAGTAGAATCTTTTTCTAATAAATTTTTTTTGTTTATAAAATATTACATATGATGGTTGACATATAGATAAACAGCATTTTGTCCACTTAATTCATGTGAACCTCGTGTAATTTTTTTAGCACTGGGGGATCCCTGGGGGGCGCAGCGGTTTGGCGCCTGCCTTTGGCCCAGGGCACGATCCTGGAGACCCGGGATCGAATCCCATGTCGGGCTCCCGGTGCATGGAGCCTGCTTCTCCCTCTGCCTGTGTCTCTGCCTCTCTCTCTCTCTCTCTCTCTCTCTCTCTCTCTCTCTGTGACTATCATAAATAAAAAAAAAAGAAAAGAAGCTGGGACATAGAAGTCTATTAAAAAAAATTCTTTAGCACTGGACTATTAGCAGTTGCCAGGACATCTGAGAAATACTGCGTGCAAACGAACAGATCATTTTCCCATATTTACTTTT